AAAGAACAAACCCTACATCTAAATTTACATTCCCTAGTGCCCTACATTGACATTCCCTAATTGTACAAAACTGTTTCTAAATATCTTAATTTTAAAACATGTGTGCTCTCTGTTTTGGCAGAAGAAATATGATCTCTCTTATTGTCCATAAAAGTTTTCTCCATGTGAAGTAGTGAGTCAGTACTTCTTTCCCAGATATCAGGAATTACTTCTACAGGTTATTAAATTAGAAGTCACTTCCAATGCTTGGAAATGGAAGCATATATGAGTTGTTAAATATAATTTTAAGAAAAATACTTCAGAATTGCTCAATAAATGGCTCTTCGGGAAACACTTTCAGAGCACAGCACCTCTCAAAAGCCCCCTCCTGCTCATTTTTTTAAATCAAATATGTCGTCCAGTCAGAAAGAAAAGTGGCCTATCCTCTTTAGTGTTGGCAGTTTGGAATTCATCTCTCAGTCGAAACTGCCATTCATCTTCCAGTTCTAGACGGACAACAGTCTGGCGAAGAGAATTGCGGTCTTGGCAAATAACACACAAGGTGGCACCTACAAGAATGGTTAAAACAAATAATTATGAGTGTTTTGTTTTATCTTCTAAATCATTAACCTGATCAAGTTCTCAATTGATTTCAGTGGAAGTTTTGTCCCTGGAAGAGAGAGGAAGGATGGTTCTGTGTTTAGGGTGCTAGTGAAGGGTTTGGGAAACCCAGGTTCAGTTACCTGCTCTGTCAGAAACTTCCTGTATGACATCAGGCTTACGTGGCCTCTCCATACCTCAGTTACTCATCTTTAAGATGGCAATAATACTTCTGTGCCTCACAGGGATGTTGTGAGAGTACATACATTCCAAATTGTGAGGTGCCCAGATATTATGATAGTGGGACCCATCTAGTCCTTCTGATAACTCAGGATCAAGTGTTACATTTATGACAGTTTCATGGATCAGACTTTAATACCCTTATTCACACTAAGTACTACCTTACTAATTGCAATGGGATGGCAGGGCCTAATTCACCAAAGCACCTAGTTCTTAAAACAGGTGACTGGACACTTAAGTATAAGTTCCATTGCTTTCATTGCGACTGAGCACATGCTTAAGTGCTTTGCTGAACTGTGGCCTACATTTTTACTCAATGTAAGGTTGGAAGAATCTAGACCTGTATCAATATCTGCCATGTGAAGCCAAAATCCTAAACCAGCAATTTTTTAAAATAAGCAATCATAGACAATCAGGAACCAGACAACCAATGGGGGAAAGGTCAAAACTCCAAAGAAAAAGCAACTGAATCAACTGATTCTATCCAATATTACTATACTCCCAAAGTATATTGAGGAAGGCCTCAAACAACAGCTAGTAGAACTGGTCATGGTCATGAATATCATTCCATGATCAGTGTGTGGCTGGTAGGTAAACAGTTATGTAATGTAGGCTGGAAATTTGTTCCCAGAATATGTTTTGGGGGCAGACTTGATAAAGAAAGGAATAGTTTTGATTGTTTGCCTGTGTCTCCAGTGTCAACTGAGCAAGGTGAGTCCAGAGACAATGGAAGTTACATTTGCACACAAGCCAACACGGGGAAGAGAAGTGAACACGAAGAGACAAACAACAGGGAAGAACCACCTTCTCTGGGGATACTCTTCAGAAGAATAGATTTCAAAGGTTTACTAGACTATAAAATGAAGAGAAGTGAATCCCTTAGTTATGTGTCACTTAAGAAAAAAAAGAGGACAGCTCCCTCTATTTCTGTGAGTATTGAATACTCCTGCTGGAAGGGCTGGAGATGGAAGGAAACTTAACTAACTTTTACTCCTAAAATTTCTATCTCCAGTTCTGTTCCTCCAGGTAAAGGTTAAGGCCTTACCCGCGCCATAAAATTCAGTCTTCAATAGCCAACCACCGCTATAGTGACAAAACCACTACACTGCACCACTTGAATCAGTCTGGAATACTCTGTTTGAAACTAGGTGAAGCTTACTCATGCAGTTTACTCCAGCTTTGCCTAGCCACAAATTTGCAATGTGGCTGGCCACTGACAGCTGCAACTGGGACAAGTCTCCAGAAAAGGTAAGGCCTACAACACAGTGGAGGGTAGCAGGAAGGAAGCTGGCAATACAATTGCTTGTTTTTAGATAAAGGGTATCACAGTCCAGTGGTGTCAGTTTGGAACATTCAGCACTAAATTGATGAATTTGGTAATTATTTGTTAGTAATATTGAACTATCCATCCTTTATTCCAAGAGGGGAGTCTGTCCCAGACACAAGGATTGTTAGTAAGAGATGGGATCCACCTAACCAAGACAGGAAAGAACAACTTCTTGAGCAGGCTTGTAAACATAGTGAGGAGGGCTTTAAACTAGGTTCGTTGGGGGACAGTGATCAAAGCCCTGAGGTAAGTGAGGAAGTCGGACACTGGGAAGAATCACACGGAGGAACGAGCAACAAAGGAGGACCCTGATTCAGATGGAGAAGGCAGGGCGATCAACTGGTTGTCTAAGGTGTTTGTACACCAATGCGAAAAGCATGGGAAACAAACAGGAAGAATTAGAAGCCTTGGCCCAGTCGAAGAATATTCAAGGAGCTGATAGAGAAGGTATCTGAGCCTCTAGCTATCATCTTTGGAAAATCATGGGAGACAGGAGAGATTCCAGAGGACTGGAAAAGGGCAAATATAGTGCCCATCTATAAAAAGGGAAATAAGAACAACCCAGGAAACTACAGACCAGTTAGTTTAACTTCTGTGCCTGGGAAGATAATGGAGCAAGTAATTAAGGAAATCATCTGTAAACAGTTGGAAAGTGGCAAGGTGAACAGCCAGCATGGATTCGTAAAGAACAAATCATGTCAAACCAATCTGATAGCTTTCTTTAATAGGATAACGAGCCTTGTGGATTAGGGAGAAGCGGTGGATGTGGTATACCTAGATTTTAGAAAGGCATTTGATGCAGTCTCACATGATAGTCTTATCAATAAACTAGATAAATACAACTTAGATGGGGCTACTATAAGGTGGGTGCATAACTGGCTAGATAACCATACTCAGGATATGTCTACACTACCACCTTAGTTCGAACTAGGGTGGTAATGCAGGCAACCGGAGTTGCAAATGAAGCCCGGGATTTGAATTTCCCGAGCTTCATTTGCATATTGCCGGGCGCCGCCATTTTTAAATGTCCGCTAGTGCGGCCTCCG